CCCCCCCCCCTCCGTTCTCTGTGTCTCGTCTTTCATGTTCGATCGGCCTTTCTATGCGTGCATCTCTGCCCCTTCCCCCCAGAGAATGGTTGTGCACCTGTGCCAGGTGAATCCCCCCCCCCTCCCTTGACTTCCCCTTTTGCTGTTTGTTTCTGATCGACTTGAGATCCAAAGTCCGCGTCTTAACTGCCTCCATTCATATAAAGCGTCTTTCCAGGTGCTCACAGAAATACACAGTGTCATAAACGCTTACTACTACTTAATCTGCATAATTTAAACTTCAAAAGACTCTCCGTTTAAACATTCAAAAGTTAATAGGTTAATTATTGAATAATTATGTTAATCGTTGGTTGTTTGAAAGAATAAACACTGATTTTTTTGTGTTTATCATTATATTAAGGTGTAAAACTGAATCTGAAGTGATGGGTGTTAAGTGAACTGAATTGTGTGATTTCATGAGGTGACTGATTTCAAATGAAAAAAAATCATGCTGCAGACTTTGTGTCTGGAAGACAGAGCAAGAACTCGTAGAGCCTACAGTACTATAATAATTTTTTTTATCTTTCTTAGCAGTAAATCGCCTTTATCCCCATGTCATTAAAGTGAGTCTTGATATATTTTTTAAATTTAGTGTTTTCATTCTAATGGATTGGATAAGATCATTTTTATTCTCTATTTCACAAGTATGATTAGGGTGTTTTTTGATTTTTTTGCATATCCCATCTTGCTCGTATATGAGACGCATAAACTCACTCACAGGGTGCCGCAAAGCTACGGGTCAGCATTCAGAGTCCGCCATTTACCTGGTGCTTCTGTAGAAGTTTGTGAGATGAGAAGTTCAGCATGAGGTCACGGCGAGGCTGGAGCTCAAGAAGCAAAGGGAATAAGATGAGGGGGAGGAGCTATAGCCTCTCCCAGGATGCACCTGGTTCTGAGGCAGGCGACACCCTCGGCGGGAAGCCTGTCCGTCTGTCATTTAGCCCTTTAAGCGCTTTAAGCTCGTGTTTTATTACCAATACTAACAACTGCCACTGAAACTTACAAAGACAGCAATACATCGATCCTCAAATACTCTGTGCCTAATTTATTAGGTGCACCTGCTCGTTAATACAAAGAGCTTGCTCCTTCAAACAGAAACTGTATGTCTGCAGCCGAATATAAATGGCACGGAGATGGGGTCAAGTGTTCCAGTTACACTTGAGCATCAGAACAGCTAAGATGCATGATCTAATCGATTCTGAATGCGGCGTGACTGTTGGTGCCAGACGCGATGCTTCCAGCATCTCTAAAATAGCCACACTTACGGGCTGCAGAATTATCAAGAATAAGGCAATAAACAAAACCACCCAGTTAGTGGCAGTTCTTTAGGCAAAAACACATTGGTAATGAGAGGAGAAATGCCAGAGCAACAGGAAGGCCACAAGAAGAAAAACAACAGCTGAGTACTGCAGTGGTGTGCAGAAAGGCCTCCCTGAACACACAACTCGCCAACCCTTGAAGTGAGGTAAAAGTACGCAGTACTAGGTAGGTGTAACTAAAAAAGGGCCCCCTGGGTGTATTTTGTACAGCACTGAATGGAGCTTAACTATTAACTTGCATAGATTGTCAAGTAAGGTATAGAATAAAATCGTATAGCCTTTTAAATTACTCCTGTCACTTAGTGATGGTTTTAGTAGTCTGTAGTGGAAAGATTGACATAGCACGCTCCCCCCCTCCCCCCCCATTTTTTCATGTAATCGTATGAGTTTGCACAGTGTGTCCAATCTTGTGGCTGAGATCATTTTTCATACAATATGAGATCAGCACCTGGAGCTGAATGTGATCCGTGATTCTGTGCTGAGGCACAAGAAAACGGTCAGATCTGGGCTCAATGACCCACGACGGGGCTGCAGAACAGTGAAATACACACTACATGTGAAAAAGGCAGATTTGTCGGTCGGATGACATGCTTAGATGACGTGTTTTACATTGTAAAAATCTGGGAGATTCCAGCTTTTTAGTTACGTCATATGCTAAATTTGAGTTTGTTCAATTAATCTTGCAATTATGAGCTATGTGGTGTCACTGAGGCTAGGGATCTGTGCCAGCAATTGGAAGGTTGCTGGTTCGAATCCCGTGAATACCAGGAGAGATCCTACTCCATTGTGCCTTGATCAAGACCCTTAAGGTGCAATTCTGTCATACTGGGTATGATGTCGATCTACATCCAGCTCTGCAAAGAGGTCCTCCAAGTTACAGAGGCATTTGGGGGCTGGTGGCAGGATTGGCACTTCAGCCACTGGAAAAAATTTGCCCTGGTCCATTCGGACTGGTGTGGTGCTGAGGTATAACCCGCTACATGGGTGCACTCGGGTTCTCATCCCTGAGGTGGTTTGTTGTGCGGTAATGCGCTGTAATCTTACCTCTATCTTGCAAATGTTTTTTCTATGAGAAATTGTGAATGACAGAGTATGACATGTCGAAGACGTTTCGTCGGAAGGCTTCCCAAGGGCATTACGCGTGCGTCCGTGCCCCACAGCCTGCTGTTCACACCGCAGTCTCCGCTAACGATGAATGTCTCAAAATTTAATGAGACATAGAGGTGCAGGAATATGTGCTGCTACACTAAGTCCCCGAGTTGCCAACGGTAACATTACAGACCCTACTGAGTACATCTGACGGCTTATACCTTTTCTGTTGTTTTTTTTTCCACTGATTGTTGAAATCATAAAAGGATTCTGGGGGTAAAAATTCACACATGCACCTGCCCCTTTAAGTGCCTGCGGGGCGTGGGCGTGTTTGAAGGAGCCCCTGCCCCCCCCCGTGACATGAAGGGAACATAGCACCACCGCCCCCAGCAGCTGCACACATTTGCATATCACAGTTATTTTTTTGCAGCCTAAATGACAGTTTAGAAGGATCTGGAACAACTCCAGGGCGTTGGAAAAACAAGCCCAGCGTGGATAAAGCTTCCGTATTCTGTGTAGTGGAATGGGATGGGGTCTCTGTGGTCACTTTATGGTGACGTTGCATCAGCAAATTATAAAATACAGTGATGTTAGTATCTAACCATTGTCTCTCTGCTGTGTGTGTGTGTGTGTGTGTGTGTGTGCCACATGATAGACTGCCATCCCATCCAGGGTGCCCCATGCTGCCTGGGTAGAGACTCTTCAGCCCTGTGTTTTGTTTGGAAGATGAATTTTAAGGGAACAGAGGCACGAAGTCTCGATACAAAAACAAATAAATATCTGATACACTTAGGCATGTCAGACATTAAGTGTGATGTCCCAGCTTGATGTGACATGTAAGTTGTGCTAGAGTGATTTGTGGTGAAGCATCAGGTGACTGTAATGTAAGCTGTAACAAAGCGTGGCTTCAGATTGCGACAGTCCTTGGCTTCCAGGGATGCAGTCGTCTCCCTAACCACCAACAGGGCAGGTTTGCTGTTTCGAAGGCACTCTCAGGATAACATGGCACGCATATTTGCGTGTTTAAGGCTGCTGCAGGTTTATCACCGCAGAATCTTTAGAGACGCTTCATTCAGATGTTCTGGGAAGTGAGATTGGATAAAGGTCACCGGCTGTTCGAAACGGGATGTCGCTCTTCCTGTTTTGCCCAGCGGGAGGGGTCATGTTTATTTATCTCGACTCGGGCCTCCACTCGCTCTTACGACAGTCCTAGAGAAATCAGACGAGCTTCGGCGCAGTCCACCCCCGCTTCCACAAGTGCCCCAACACAGCCGCATTGTTCACAGGCAGGGGGCACCCGATCCCTAATTGTAGCTCTTCGAAGGGCACAGCCAAACAAAACGCAACGGGCTATGAGACACCAACTGCTCTACAGGAGCTTCCCTATGTCCTTGTTTGTTTTGGCCCTGATCAGTCCTGTCGTCTGATTCCAATCTATCGCTCAGAGGGAATAAGGCAGAATTGTGCGAATCCTATCCGAGTGCTGAGGAGGCTGTGTAACCGGAATGAGTGTTTGCTCGTCCGTAATCCGATATTTTGCGAGTGTAATAAGATATCATGAATTACTGAATATTGTCATTAATTGTTTTTGTACACTTTAACCATTATTTGAATGGTTTATGGAGCATGTCATTTGGGAGAAAAAACTATCTGTTAATATGTAAATTAATTACCAATAATGTGTGTGTGTGTGTGTACTTTGCAAGAGACTGGCATACCAACATTGTAAGCAGATAGAACATAATAATAGTAATAATGAGTAATAATACATTTAAATAGCACTCAAATGTATGTGCACATTCTATACAGCATTTTTATTTTTTTGCATTTTCTAATTTGTTGGAGTTTTTGTATTTTCATTTTTTGCTGCTATTATAGCTATCGTCGTCATTGTTATCAATAGGAGCCGCCATCGTGTCATCACACTGCTCGCAGCTGGGCCGCACTCCACAAAGGGCCGTGTGTTTCAAGCCCCGACTTGGGTGCGGAAGCAGCCGCTTTGAAATGCATCAGCCCCCTGGGATTCTCCTCCCGAGGGCGACAGACGCCCCGTGGGCTCGGCGGAACAAAGAGGTCCTGGCGGCTCTGTTTAATGTCTTGGAGGCGTCTTCCCGGCACAGGGGGGCCGTGTGGTGCTGCGCGCAGCACTGGCTGTGACAGAGGTCGCCCCCCCCCCACCCCCTGGTTAAATAAAAAATAAAATAAAAAGCTGATAAGGAGCTGCGAGTGGGGCTGCATAGACAGTTGAGGTGGGGGGGGGGGGCTTCTTCAAAAGCATGTTAATCTTTATGAGGGGGGTCAGTTCCTGATAGGGCAGATGTGGAGGGCAGGTGCATGGACAAGTGAGCGTGTGCTTTCACAGCTTTGGCAACGCCGGGCGCTTTCACACACCTACTCACCACAGCACTTGACACCCCACCTCTAACGTCGTTATCCTTATCAAAGATCGAGTGTGCAGATGTTTGACTTTCCCTTAAACACTTGGTCAGAACTCAGAAGTTGATACGACTTTCTGTTGACCTGCATAGAATATCCTTTGTGTTATTTTTACTTGTTTTTTTTTTTTTTTTTACATTCCGCGTTCATAATTTTTTGGGGGGGAAAAAAGGCTTGAGGCTCAGCCAGTTTCGCTAAAACGTCCCCCGATTCATCCTGGTAAGACGGCAGTATGTGTCGTCTCCATTGTGTTTGATGAGTCGTGAAAATGGCTTCACCTGAACTGTATGGGTAATTAAGGTAAACGTTAAGTCACCTTATTAAAAACAGCCATATTCCCCCAAACTGTCTCTGGTGGAAGTTCTACCCTCCAGAGGAGCTCCTTGTATGCCATTTCCCAGCTCAGAGAATAAGGTGGTGCAGGCATGGCTTGCTCCCTTATATCCCCCCCCCCATCCTGTTTATGACCCCTGACTCCCTCCCTCCCCCCAGGAGCTGATTCCCCTCATTCTGTGTACCGCCTGCCTTCACCCGGAGCCCAAGGAGCGCGACCAGCTCCTGCATATCCTCTTCAACCTCATCAAGAGGCCCGATGACGAACAGAGGTGTGATCACGTCACCTGATCGCTTTACTGACGGACAGGGGAGTCACTGCCGGGTCACTGCAGCTCTAAGCGGCTTGAGTCACTGTGAAGTCACTCCCAGGTTACTGCAGGCTCCAAACCAAGTGACTTGACTCACTGCAGAGTCACTGCTATGTCACTTCAGGCTCCAAGACGAGCAGCTTAAGTAACTGCAGAGTCACTACCGAATCACTACAGTCTCTAGGCCAAGTGACTTGTGTCACTGCAGAGTCACTGCACGCTTCAAGCCAAGCTGCTCAAGTAACTGCAGAGTCACTGCCAGGTCATTAGTCTTCCAGTGGCTAGACTCAGTGCCAAGTCAATGCAGGCTCTAAACCAAGCAGCTGGAATCACTGCAGGCTCCAAGCCAAGCTACTTGAGTCACTGAAAAGCACCTTTGTGCCATAGACACATATTATAACTTGACAGTATTTAAATGTATATGGTTAGCTCTCGATCTTCAGATGCCATGTCTGACGCACGTTTCCAGTGGCCCGCTCCTGTCACTGTCACGTCCTTGTGTCCGCAGGCAGATGATCCTGACCGGATGCGTGGCCTTCGCACGGCACGTGGGTCCGACCCGGGTGGAAGCAGAACTGCTGCCGCAGTGCTGGGAGCAGGTCAGTTGCTCTCCTAAGCATTTCTCTGTCTTTAATATTAACTCCAGTATTACCGATAAAAACAGTAGACAGACTCTATTTTTGTAGGTGCCTTTAAAATAATCCCATCAGACAGAATAAAAAGCAGTTGTATTCCAATACAAGTTTGAATATTATCCATATGTAAATGGAAAAGTTATCTTTATAATCAAGTTGCTAAAATTATTTTTGAGGCATGAGGATTTTCACTAGGAAAATAAGTATAAAAGCCAGGAATTCTCTTAAGTAGTATTTTTGTGTTTTATCTGAATGTGAGTCAAATTTAGTATATTTACGGTAATGAACCCAGGGGGACAGATTTCCTGTAAGTCTTAAGTGCTGCTCCTGCAGCCAGGGGGCGCAATGTTGTAGCATGAGCACCAGTTGTTGACAGTTATTGTTTTATGCACAAGTCGCGTGACAGTAGAGTAATGTTAATGCTCACTAGACCTTTTAAAGATAAGCAGAGACTTTTGTGGAAATGAGTTTGATTTGTACAGGTTAAATAGAATGCAGAATGCTTCACTATACCAGCCAAACTTACTTTTAAAGCAACACTGAATGACCTTTTGTGGCTTAAAGTTTAACAAAATCAGAGATAGATGAGTATTGCTTTTGTTAATATGAACAAAATGTAATTCCATGTCACTGATTATACGTGATCATAATTTTTTTTAAATGTATTATTGTCACATGTTCATAGAATTATAATGGAGAGACATTCACTTTTTTAAGTGTTTCTTGTGTAGTAGCATGAATTTTGTGTGTAGTAGCTGTGTTTTGTGTAGTTGTGTGTGTGTGCGTGCAGTAGCATGTATTTTTTCTGCAGTAGCGTGTTTTTTTTGTGCAGTAGCGTGTGTTTTTTGTGTAGTAGCGTGTGTTTCTTGTGTGGTAGCGTGTGTTTCTTGTATAGTAGCGTGTGTTTCTTGTGTAATAGCGTGTGTTTCTTGTATAGTAGCGTGTGTTTTTTGTGTAGTAGTGTGTGTTTCCTGTGCGGTAGCGTGTGTTTCCTGTGCGGTAGCGTGTGTTTCCTGTGCGGTAGCGTGTGTTTTTTGTGTAGTAGCGTGTGTTTTTTGTGTAGTAGCGTGTGTTTCGGTAGCATAGGTTTCTTGATAGCAGTTTGCAGTAAGCCGAATTCTTTCAGCTAGAACGTATGTAACACTACACTGTTCTGATGGCAGCAATCACATGACCAGGGACATCCTCCCAAAAACAAGAAGGAATGCAGACGTGTGGTTTCTTCCGGGCGGAGAATGCACTGTTGTGTCTGTCCTTCGCCCCACAGATCAACCACAAGTACCCGGAGCGCAGGCTGCTGGTGGCAGAGTCCTGCGGAGCCCTGGCCCCCTATCTGCCCGTAAGAACCGCTCAGGTCCGGAGCCCAGCCCACTGGCCGTTTTTCCCCGGACTCTCCGCTCTCTGCCTGGCTTTATCCTCCCTCTCTGTAACTGACCCCCCTCTCGCTCTCCCTATTCTCTGGGAGATGCTTCTCTAAGGTTTTTTTTTGTAGTTCTGGTAGTAGTTCTGGTCGGGTGACCCGGTCATCCGACCGCTCTCGGAACGGGCAGGACTTCAACCCGCCTGCTGCTCTTCCAGAAGGAGATCCGCAGCTCCCTGGTGCTGTCCATGCTGCAGCAGATGCTGGCTGAGGACAAGGCCGACATGGTGAGGGAGGCCGTGGTGAAGAGCCTGGGAATCATCATGGGCTACATCGACGACCCGGATAAGTATTCCCAGGTGAGGCCCACTGCCCTCGCCTGAGGCTACACCAGGAAGAAGTCCAGGCTCTGGCTGAAGGTGCCAGCTGTGCTAATATGGGGCAGAGTGTGGCTCTGCGGGTTAGGACACTGTGTCTGTGATCAGAAGGTCACTGGTTCAAATCCCCAGGTCAGCAGACTGATTTCACTGTTGTGCCCATTTTCTCTAGGGACTGTCTGACCCTGTTTTCTCAGAAAGGTGTGATTAATGTAACGTAAATGTAATATACATGATAAACTGTCTTTCTGCGGTATGATTGCTGTGTTTTTAAAGCGAGAGCCTGGGTCATGTATACTTGTAAGGCCTGAACGCCACGTCCTAAAAACCCCCCTCGTCTCTCTCTCTCCCTCTTTCCTTCCCTCTCTCTCTCTCTCTCTCTCCCTCTCTCTATCCCTCACTCCCTCCTTCTCTCTGTCTCTCTCTCCCTCTCTCTATCCCACACTCCCTCCTTCTCTCGCTCCCTCTCTCTCTCTCTCTCTCTCTCTCTCTCCCTCTCTCTATCCCTCACTCCCTTCTCCTCTCTCTCCCTCTCTCTATCTCTCTGTCCCTCTCTCTCTCTCCCTTCCCCCGCCTCCCCCCTCCGGCATGGCCAGGGCTTGGAGCTCATGCTCCTCTCCCTGGGCGACCCGTCGGAGAGAGTGGTGAATGCCACCCACCAGGTGTTCATCCCGGCCTTCGCGGCCTGGGCCACAGAGCTGGGGACCCTGCAGTCGCAGCTCATCCCCACACTGCTGAGCCGCATCGAAAAGCTGCTCAAGGTGCGAGTCCCGCCAAATGCAGAATGATCCGGAACATTGCCGCAGTAGAATAGAATTCCGACGGGGTCTGGATGCTCCTTGGGTCTGTTCCCAATCTAGAGGCAGGGAGTGGGACTGCTAGCTGAAATCTGTTCTGGAATCAGTTTAAAAATGTTTTTCAGAAAATAACCCCCCGTAACTATGGGTTACGGGTCATCATTCATTGGGTCATGCCCCATTCCCCCTTATGACGGCCCCCTGTCATTGTTATTCATTACAGACCTTTGTTACACAGTAATGAACTCTGTGGTTAAAAAAATTTAACTAAATTAAAACCATTAAAAGCGTCTTTGCTACAGTCATTGTTCATTTTGTTAACATTGTGGCAAAGATCTGGTAAATACCAGAACTATTTCCTTGTGTTTTTTTTTTTTATGTTTGCTTATTAAATCTGAACCTGTTTGTGTCTTGGTGGTTTGGCCCTAGTTTTCTGTATATATGAGCAGCTATGTCATCGGTCACGCGTGTGTGTGTGTGTGTTTTTCGGCCCAGGATGGCGAGCACACGCTGGACGAACACAGGCTCCACATATTCCTGTCGGCCCTGCAGTCCCTCATCCCGGCCCTGTTCGCTGCCGTGCTCCAGAACGCCCCCTTCGCGGACCGAGCCCGACTGCAGGGCGAAGCGCCTCCTATAGAGGGTCAGTGGAGCCCCTTGTCTTTTCCCAGGCCGGCGGCAACATTAGCCGTGACGTTTTGGGGTCTGACGGGAAACCTCCTCGCTTCATTGTTCACAGCGTCTGATCTGGCCCCGTGACTCAAGGCGGCCCCCCTGGGGAGTTTGCGGAGCGGGGGCCTGTAATTAGGCCTCTCGGTTTATGGACGGATTTGAAAGGGATTTTTGTACCGTGGTGTCTGTAGTTGGATGTTATCTGCAGCTTTGGATGATGTTTCTGGAAGGTAGCCTACACTCTCGGTAGCTGAAGTTCTGTGGCCGGTCACCTCCCCCTCGTTCGACTTTCGCGGTTGTCCTCCAGTGACTCGGTTCCCGCGGCCAGCGTCGCCACTGCAGGACCTGGCCACCATCATCGGCAGCCGGGAGCAGCTGGCCGTCCTCCTGCAGCTCTACGACCACCAGCTGGGCCACGAGGGCACCACGGGCTGGGACAGCCTCCTCTGGGTGGTCAACCAAATGTGAGTCTCCCTGCAGGGCTTCCACCCTCTGCATGTTTGCTTTTTAGATGCTTAATTAAATTTCTTTTGCTATATAAACTTATTTCATACCTTCTCTTGATATTTTAGGAGAGCGCAGTTTGCAGTACGCTATGCACTGGTTTTTCTGCAGTAATTTCAAAATAGTTCCACACCGCAGACATTTTATGGTCCTGTTTATTTTGCTATTTAATAAAATCGATGATATGTACTCATGTGGTATCAGTTATAGGCATCAGTGCATTGTCAGAAGGATGAGTACGGGTACATCAGCACTGTATCAGAGACTAAACCGATACTTGTGTCATATTGATGCACCCCCTACATTTTCTGGATATTTTTCTGTACGATAAACAGTAACATTTATATATAACCCAGACAGGCTCATGTGCCGTTAGCTAGTCAAGGATTACCTCTTTTTTGGGAGGTGTGGCTCTGCTGGTTAGGACCTGGAAGGTCGCCGGTTCAAATCATAAGTTCGGCAGGGTGATTTCAGTGTCGGGTCTTTCAGCAAGGCCTTTAACCCCCAATTGTATGCCGCTTTGGATAAAAGTTCCTGCTAAATAGATAAATGTAATCAATTAATGCGATTTATATAGAGATGTATGCTTTAGATTTGAAGATGGTTGGATGGACAGATGGATGGAATGATGGATGGATGAATGGATGGATAGAAAGATGGATGGTATATGTTTACAAGTAGTTAGTTATAATTACTAGTTTGTGGGGATCACAAAGTGACACACCCTATGTTCGAGTCATGTGTTGAACATGTGACTCGTCATCATGGCCAGCATCCCGGTTCCCCATCAGACGTTCTCCGGGCTGTAGCTTGGTGTCTAGATGGTCTCAGATGACAGGAGGGGGTCTGACCTCCAGCACTGTGTCCCCCCAGGCTACCCCAGCTCATTGATATCGTCAGCCGGATAAACATCACATCGGGCACCTCCGTCCATGAGTTTTCCAGGTTCTTCTGGAGGTTATGTCGGACATTCGGGAAGATTTTCACCAACACCAAGGTATATCGGAGCCGCCAGGCTAAAATGTCAGGTCATCCTTCCGTAAGGGGACAGAAGGCTTCAGATGGCTGTTCTGTGCTCTTCCTTGCCTCAGGTCAAGCCACAGTTTCAGGAGATCCTTCGTCTTTCCGAGGAGAACGTGGGTGAGTGTCCTGTCACTCAGAGTCCTACGGTACTCAAACAACTGCCAGTACAGGGGGCAGAGCGCTTTAATTATTCATGTAATGTCACAGTCGTCAGGACATATCAGCAGTCAGAATTGTAAACCCTCCTATTTGTAATTGTGCTAATGAAGCCAAATTCTTTGTCTAGTCTCAAAGAATAAGGAGAAGCTGTGAAAAAATTGTGCATGTTACCATGGTAAATGGTTCTCGTGCTGTAATTACTTGTAAAGCCATAATTGGAGTAAAACTGATGTTTGTATGGTAGGAATGACAAGGCAATGAAGTTTGTAGATCCTTACCCATTGTCTCGCATTAGTTTCTGTTCAGTTCATTGAAGCTGTTCCCATTGTTAGAAGCTGCCCTGCTTCTCTTTGATTGACAGATGTCGCGGAACACCCACGTTTGTAATTGGCACAAGAAATTTGACTCACAGTGCTCTTTGTTTGTTTGCAGACACGACGGCCGGGAATGGGATTCTGACAAAGGCCACTGTGCCAATCTATGCAACAGGGGTGCTGACATGCTACAATCAGGTGAGTAGGGTGGCGATTGAGGTTCTGAATTCACATACAAGTCAGGTTTAGATTTGTTTAATATCTGATTCTGTGTGATTTTTTTTCCCTCCAACAGGAAGAAGACCGCAAGCTCCTGGTTGGATTCTTGGAAGATGTCATGACCACCTTGTCATTGTCACATGCCACTCTGGAGAGCTTGAAGGCATCTTTTGTGGAGCTGGGGTAAGGCTCCAGAGATATCAGAGACTTCTCTGAGGGTGGAATCCAAGAAAAACCAGAAGTGTCATAAATAAGTGCTATAGATGTATGCATGCTGGAACAAGATCTTCGCTACTGTGTGCGGAACCAGAATTGCAGATCCTTTGTTTATAAACCGCATTTGCGCTGTGGGCTTACTTAGTGTACTCTGAGATGCTGACCGGGCTTTTTGAAGTTCTTGTGGGAGATCCTGAGATGCCTCTTGTGTTTTCAGTGCCAATCCGGCGTTCCACGAGCTGCTTCTGACAGTCCTCTGGTACGGCGTGGTCCACACCTCGGCGCTTGTGCGCTGCACTGCCGCTCGGATGTTCGAGGTAAGGCGGTCCGTCTGAAATGCACGACGGATAACAGAGTGTGTAGAATCGGAGAACCAGTGTTGACGCTGGGAATGCATTTATGTATTATGCGGTATTCAAGAAAATGCATGTAAGAATTAAAGTGTCACTGGCGTTATCCCTGTGCTGAGGCGTGATGTCAGGTACTAATGTCAATGTGACACATGAAACCTGGAGGACGAGTATGGACGAGAAGGTGTACTTGGCCAAACATGCATTTAACCGCAAAGCATGTTTAATGCAGTGGTTCTCTCTCCAATCCTCGGGCCAATGAATCCAGACCACGTTTTTGCTCTGTTTCACCTCCTACACACCGGCTTTTCCCTGTCAGTGTCTTGATTGTCTGGCTCAAGTCTAAAGGTTGTGGACAAAACGTGAACTGGATGTAGGGGCCTTTGAACTGGGTTGTGAACTGCTGGTTTAGTGAAGTGCCACTGCTATGATTTATGATCATGATGTCCACCCCACCCATAACCCCCCCCCACCACCCCGCTGTCTGCCCCCTACTGTGCGATGTCAAAGGTATCATCTTCTCTCTTGTTTTAGATATCTGCTTAGCTTTATTGTTTTTGTGCTGCTTGCCACTCTTTCGCTTGTTACATGTACAGGTGTATTTGTTTTGTTTGTGTGTTTTCCTTCTCGTTTATCATTGTTTGTTTTGTCCTCCTCTCTCTGCGCCTCGTCACGACGCTGTGCTTGCTGTTTCCACGCATCGCGTGTGATGTCACCCTGCTCTGGCCAATCAGCTGTTGGTGAAGGGGGTGAACGAAACCCTAGTAGCTCAGAGAGTCGTGCCTGCACTTATCACACTCTCCAGCGACCCTGAAATGTAAGTTGACTTCCTAACTCATCCAGTCCTGCCCCTTCCTCAGTGTCACAGGAAGTATATCACTTTGCTTCTTGGGACAGACACGAAGAACTTAATCGGATGACGATGGCCTACCAAATTCAGACTTCTGCTTACGTACAAGGGTCTAAAAACAAAAATAGGCATTCAAAGTTTATCTTCCATGGGAATATGAGACTTTTTCTCTCATCATCCATGATCGAGGCATTTATAAATATTAGCTACTAATCCAAATGAAACTGAGCACTGAGTGCTACACAGTTGGATTGTCATACTCATAATATTGGCTTTTTGGTTTTTCAGTTTCCATTACAGAGTGATATTTCCATAAATTACTATAAATAAAGTCATTTTCAGTGATGTTTCACTCTCACGAAAACGGTGGCTTGCCGTTTTATTTTTTTCCGAGCAAAACGCCGCAGACGTGCTGCCGTTTTGCAAGGCCTAGGTGAGCGACTCAGCACGCTAACTGTGCTTGTCATGGTCCTTCTAAGAAGGCCATCTTGTTCAAGCAGCCACGTGGTTAGACCTTGGATACCCCTCCCGGGGTACCACAGACTGCCGTGACCCCCCAGCTGAACACGCTAACTGTGCGACATGCGTGTCTTGTTGCAGTCCTTCTGAGTAAGGTCTCTGCTAGCTGTCTTGCTTGAATAGCCACGTGGGGAGGTGTTGGACACCCTTTCTGGGGTACGACTGGCTGCCATGGTCCGCTTTCCGCTCTCTCTGTCCTCCAACGGCTGCTTCCCCCTTGCAAAGCACCTCTGCCCCATTTTGCCCCCGGAGCGTTTTTTGTGTTTACCTACCCGTATCTCTCTTGCATTTTGACTGGTTGCAGCTGATTCTTCGAGGCATGAGCGAGACCTTAATTGACAAGCGGGTAGCACCAGCCCTTATTGCCTTGTGCAGTGGTCCCGAATTGTGAGTTAACGCAGACATGGATCTTAACAACAGCCTGTTTCTTCAGCATTTCGCCTGGGGGTGTTTACTGGCATTAATTCCTTAAGTAATCCATCCTAGCCTGCTACTTACTTTGAGAAACTTGCAGTAAATGCTATGCATGAAGGGAAAAATGTCTTAACATATTTACAATATGTTTCTAGAAATGTTGAAAATGATATGATTTTCTCATTTCAGCTCTGTAAGGATAGCTACCATTCCTGCATTTGGGACAATTATGGAGACAGTAACTCAAAGAGAGGTGGGTTTAATTCACCCAAGCCTACTATTCAGCGAGAAGCTGATTCTACATGCCCAACCATTTCTATGTATGTGAAGGGGAGGGGTTTACATGTGTTTCCTGCCATAGCTGCTTGAGAGAGTCAAAATGCAGCTGGCTTCCTTTCTGGAAGACCTCCAGTACCAAGACCAGCATTCCTTGCACATGGAGATCATCAGGACACTCGGCAGGGTGGGACCCAATGCGGAGCCGAGGTTCAGGGACGACTGTAAGAGCTTCCGTCTTTGTATTTCACTCCAGGGTTTTCATTGGGTTCCAATTTGAGCTTTCAGACATTGCTTTTATCTAACCATTTTCCACCTTCACATCCACAATCCTTGTAAGTGATAGTACGGAGAATACATATGGTTTTGGGACTGGCCCACCACTGCCACAGACACTTTCTCGTTAATGTGATAACTTAAAAAAATATTTGATGTATCTTTATTCAGACACATTATATGGGTGAAGATCTGAGGCTTATCAAATTTTGAGAAAAATCGCTCCAAAACTGAAGCAGCATAAAGAGAAGGCCAGCCTCACGCAGATCTAGTGAACCTGATTACACTGAGACCAGTGACACAAAGTTGGTTGGTGGGTGGTGTGGTAGGAGTAGGGATTAAGTTGGGGAGGGGGGAGGAGAATGGAGCTATAAAGGAGCTGGAAATACATTGTTGTCGTTCCAACAGTATCTACTTATTATCATTATTATTCTATGGCAGGGTATGTCTTTCATAACTAATGCTTTTGAGTTGAATTACCAGCAAAAACTGCCCATGTTGTTCACGTTTCTCACTTCTTCAGTATTTCCAATCTCTTTGTTGCTACAGACTCTGTTAAACCCTCAGGGTTAGCGGAGATTTGGAAAGTCACTCTGTGAAAACAAATATTCAGCGTAATTAACTATTGCCAGATTATTAGCAAAGTTCCTTTTGCAAAGCATAAGCCTCAGGGTCACGTATCTTGTGCCTTAGCTGCAGTTTCACCTAGAATCATGCAGTTTGAATGTCAGTCATGACGGGGTCTCTTGGTTAAGATTACAACGTTAGGCCTGAATCCAGTCCTGGAAGTAGGGGATGATATCTAAGGGGATTAGATCCGAACTTGTGATCGAAGATACTAGTGAATTTGACTGTGGATTGATAAGACGATAAGTGTAGGGGGTGGGAATTTTCTTGCGGAAATATTGCGGCGTCACATTCGCTTTGGCGAGTTGCTGTGCTCTTGCGATTTGAACCTGCTGCTTGTATTTATGAAGTCATGCATAGTGGCCACTCCAGTCTCTCTGACACTCCTCTGTTTTATTTCTCAGTTGTCCTTCCTCATTTGCACAAGCTGGCTTTGGTCAACAACATGCAAACGGTGGAGGCGAAGCGATTGGACATCGCCACCCAGCTCTTTGAGGCCTACAGTGCCCTGTCCTGTTGTTGTATCCTTCAAGGGTCAAGGGTTGGGGAGGCGGCTCAACAACTGCATTGCAAGCATGTTTAAAATAGGAGAAAATTAATTAACACCCTTCTGACCAATCAGATTTGAGAATCCAATAGCGCTGTGGTATAAAGGAAAAGTGATGGAATGCGTAACGTATGGATTGTACATGTACTAAGACAAATCAAGCAGGCCAATAGCCAGATAGCATTGTGAAATGTATGCTATTTAAAATAATCTGTTTTATGACTAGCTATTTTACAGTATTACAGCAAGTACATCCTATTTTTTGTTAATTAGTTTCCTTTATCTTCTGTTTCACTTAAGAAAAAAAATAGTTGTTTTTGTATACTACATGCCTCAACAGAAATTGACTCTTTTATTTGTTTTTGAGTGAACATATTTTCTCCTTTCTTTTTTTTTCTTCTTTTGAAAATTTTCTTTATCCAAGTGAACTTTGTGGACAGGTTGATATTTGTTTACCATTGGGTTATTTTAGTCAAAGTGTATACCTTCCTGGAATTTGAAGAATTTGAGCCACAGTACTACTAAAACCACCAAACCACCTGTAGCCATATATGTATCATCAAAGTTGCGCACATTTTTAATTTGAGAGTTTTGGCTGAAAAAACTGCAGGATTTTCTTTTTCATCATTTTTTTTTCCCTTTCTCCATTGTCAGTGCCATTTACCGTTGGATGAACATTCCCTGACAGGAAGGGGGGGAAAAAGAAAATAAACGCTGTGCATTTATGTGCACCAAGTTGCAGGGCGGACGCTAAAACGTACGGCTGACCACTAAGTGTGGCTCCCCTATAATGAGGGAGAGCCTGTTCCCAGGCCGGAAAAGTCTGCCTCTGGTCACAGTTCCCAGCACCAGGCCCGTGTGGGCCGCCCGCAGCAGAGCAGAGCCCTGGGTGCCCCTCTGGTGACCTCCTGCGATGGCAGTCTGCTGCTCCCCACGCAGCTGGGTGAGGTTTGCGTTCTGATGACTTTTTAATTTATTTTCTTTAATTTTTTTGGGAGGCCTCCTGGAAGTCTCACGTCACAGAGGCTCGGAGAGCTGAGTGTGAAGAGAACGCAGAGCTGCGGTGGGGGGGGTTGGCTGTACATTGACGCCAGGCAGCCTTTTGGTGTGGTCCACCATGGGGAAGGGGGGGAATGGTTCCATTCCTCAAACTTTTCAAGGAAGCAATACCCCCCCCCCCACATGCCATTTTTAAACAGATTTAAATTAGCGAGAGACAGTTTCAGTGCAAACATGCATTCCCTGCCCACATTTGAAATGGTTTATCTTCCCCAGTGAAAAGGAATGGTCTTTATATTCATGGAGCTTTGCAGAGGTGGACATTTCAGGTCCAGAAAGTAAAAGTCCAGACCAAGATTTTGTTTCAACCAACCATTCTGTGACTGTGACTCTTTATACTCAACTCGGTGCTTGAAACAAAATCTTGGTCCAGATTTTTACTTTCTGGACCTGAAATGTCCACCTCCGGGACTTTGGTACTAATAAGAAAGTGAGGCCAAGAGAGGCAGTTTGGAAGCTTTTTTTTGTTTGTCCAAGGAATGGAGGAGTGCTTAGCCACAGATAAGAAACGCTAACCTTCCTCCCCAAGTTTGTCAGCGTTAGTTCAGTTTTCCAAGCACCGCTGTAGCATCAACCAGGCCGGCTTTTCCTTTAGCTGTTGCCTCCAGTCATTTCAGACGAACTGATGGTGCACCACTTCATCCCCGGCCTGAGGTGTCTGAGGACCGACATGGAGCACCTCTCCCCCGAACACGAGGTTGGTTGTTTTGCAGGTGGCCGCTTGCGTGCATTTTGTCATACTCTACGGAAAATACTCTTAAAAACTGATTTCCTACACAGGCGTAATCTGTTAAATGCAGTTCTTAATCACCACCGTTATAGTGTTCTTTTTTTTTTTATCTCATGAACTAGCTATTTTAACTGTCCATCCAAATGTGTAGCAGGTAGGTGAGTGATAGTGTATTTTTAAATGTATATTTATGAAGTGTCTCATATATTTTGTAACACGACAAAACAGCGTAAGAGACCCAATTTCGAGTCATAACGCAATTTTGATCAAATTACAGTTACGATGTTTCTTACGCTGGTATATCACTGTCGTTCTTGTTGCACATAACATTTTAATTTCCATAGCGGTGATTGTTTTTTTTTTATTATTATTATTTGTTTGTTTTACCTTTTTAACGCCTACTGAGAGGCTGCTGATCAGCTGGTCGAGGCCAGCTAGCGTGCACGTGCTCCATCCCAAGAGGAACTATAAGTAGGAGGCTGATTCCAGGCAAACCACTTTATTTAAACCCCCTGATCTTTGGTGTATTTCTTCTCGCAGGTTATTTTGAGCTCTATGATTAAAGAATGCGAGCAGAAGGTGGAAAACAAGAGTGTGCAGGACCCACAGGGGTGAGTGCCCTCCCTTACATATTTTTTTGCGTTCTCTGTCAACAACCGGCTCCGTTGTACAACCGTTGCACATTCATTAACTTTGAAACCCAAAGTTCACTTGCTGGGGTTGTCCTGCCTGTGGTCCCCACAACCCGTGACGTGTGCAGAGTATGACTAAGAGCCACTGGCGCAAATTTGGTATTTTTTACGGCAAACCTCGTCAGGCCACAAGCCTTAAATTATCCGCCGGTCCCTGAGGTTGCCTCTGGGTTTGGCAGCTTTTGGAAAGGATGCAACCGGTCGTAACAGACGACATGAACATCCTGTGGACAGAAGGAAGTCAGGTGATAATCCTGCTCATTAAGAGCCTTTATTATAACACGTACATTTGTAATAGATTAAGTTTATTTTCTCTGGCCCCAGAAAACGACCCAGACCATGACGTCTGTCCCTAGCAACTTGACTCAAAGTTGTTTTGTTTTTATCCCACCCCCCAGCTGATGCTGAAATGGCTGTCTTTTGTTTCCCTCCCTCATTTCCGCCCCCTTCCCGTTTCCCCACCCCGTGTCGCTTGGTTCCTTTCGTCAGATTTGCAAACCGCTGCTACTCCAGTCAGTTTAGCGCCGCACTGTCTGTCACGCCGCGGCCCTTACCCCAGGCTGGCTGGCTGGCTCGCTAACAATGCGGACAGGACCGAGTGACGCGGTTCCCGTCGCCGTGACAACCTTGTATATGAAAGTCACGGGCCACTGTACGAACTCTGAGAATGAAATTCAATAGCACGTAGCTTTACCGTTTCTTAAGGTGCCGAATATCTCTGTCATACTGCCCACATTCCTAAACAGGGAATGCTGGAAAGATTATGTTTTCGACGTACTTGTGACTAGATTTTGAGTCATCCGGGTTTGTGTGGACGCCCTTCTCTGAAAGATGGTCTGGTGGCGACACTGTGTAGCTCTCTCTGCCCCTCCGGCGTTACTTCCAGCAAGAGCTCGGAAGCAGCCAAGTATGGGAAAAGAAAACGAAACGTAAAACAAGTCAACACTGGTCGGGCCTCGGTATTAGCAAGAGACCCAACTTTAACGCCTTTACCGTGTAAGTACTTGTACCTTGTCAGTAGCCGTTTCACTTCCGTACTTGTGATGTAAATCACATAAGAATGAACCTTTGATACTTGTTCATATGCTCCAAAGCTTATATGAATCATTTGTTTGGATGTCTGGAATATGCACTTCACTTAAAAAAAAAAAAAACACAGCTGCTTGTCTAGGTATTTTGTAAATGGATTGGCCAGGATTTACTTGGATTGCAGTAATAATGAAGAGTCCGACAGCAACACTGGGAAAGAGGAAGCCACCTTTTCAAATAATTAATTTTATTGTCTCCAATTAAGTCACTGACAACAGAACAAAACTTGGCCTTTAAGCATCATTCGTTTATTTCCAAGCCGCACTAAACATTAGACCTCAACCTGAAAACAGCAAAACAATAGTAGTGTAAATCATCAACCCGAGCATTTCCCTAGGGTCATCCCAAATCCAACATTCTAATTTCCTTAGATTGTGGGGGTGAAGGAATTGATCTTTAATCGCATTTGCATCATAATCCAAAAGGTCTGATTGTCTAGCAACAGTTGTCAAGGCACCTCTGGTGGTCACTGGATGCACCTCAGGACTGGAGTCGAATTGTCCAGCCCAGTTTGTAACTTCTGTTTTTTCTTCCCCCCTCTCAGCTCAGCGTCGATAGCAGCAAGTCTCGTAGGTGAAGACACCAGGACGAAATTCCTCAGCAAGATGGGTCAACTGACCACCTCGGGAGCCATGTTGGCCAACGTGTTCCAGAGGAAGAAGTAATCTGCTGCAGCTCGATCCATGATCCTTCATTGCCTGGGACTTCTTACTTGAACTCGATTTCCACCTTAATTTAGTTTTAATTGTCATTTCGTTTTTTTGTTTCATTATGTTGTGTCCTTCTTGCTGATTTATGTTTTTCCTCATATATCTTTATTCCAGCCTCCAAAGAAATTTGCACTTGTGTTTTTTTCCTCTCGTCTGAATTACGTTTTAGCGTTTTTATGCTTTTGTTTCCGTAGCCGTACTGTCACTTGACAAATGAAACCTAAAATTCCCTCGTATTGTTCTTGCTCTGTGTTGCAGTGTTTGCTCACACACACACACACACACACACGCTCACAGTAACACACACATATATAAATATATATTTTCTTCCTGAAAGTGGGTGTTTATATTTGGGTTTATTGTATTTTATTTTTTGGATATGTTCTAAACGTAAATAACTGTATAATACACTGATTTAATAGAACAATATCCATAATATGTAAATTTAAAATTGATGTCATGACAAAATAAAAATGGAAGACACTTGTGTACTATACCTTTTCCTTTTTTTGCATTTATATTTAAATTCACATTTATTTTTCCCAGACATGTCTGTATAAAGTAATATGCAAGCGTAAGGACAAACACGTCCTGTAAGTACATTACAGTCGATTTTTTTTTCTCTTGATTTTGATGGTACAAAATCACCTCCTAGAAATGCTAACTGGCACAGAGTATACTGCACCCTTCTGCCAGTGGCATGGTACCTGTAAGTGTGGGTGTCACCGCAGCAGTCCTGCAGCCATCGTTCCAATAGAACCACTCACTCAGCATAAACTACCCCAGGTATTTCGCTGTTTCTTTTGCAGCAGTAAAGATCAGCCTTCCAAAGGTCAAAGCCTTGGAAAAAAAAACGTCAAATGTTCCAGACTTTCTTCCATAGATTTGATAAAATTACTGGCCTGTGTGATCGTGATAAATGACTCACATAATTATATAAAGGATATAAATCATTGACCACTCACCACCTGAAAAATTTGCATAAAAGCTTAATATTTAACATTTATTGCTGATAGCATAGCAGATGTACAAATAATTTCTGTGCTGTTGCACAATATGCAAATTACCCTAAAGTAAAAACGGGCTGGTGACAGGTTCTTCTAGTCCAGTGCATCTAGACCATTGGCGTGTAAATCCAAAGTAACATTGTCACTGCCAGTTCCGAGTTTCTCTCCAATATCCACTTAAAAGAACAGTTATTTTTATTGTTGTAACCTTTCTGACTCCCCGTCTGAAGCAAGCTGAACACTGTGAAAAAAATGCCACGGGTTAGGGGAGGACTTAGTCATTAGGGTCCCTTAGAACCATGACTCAGAAGTGTGGAAGCCATCCAAGCCCATGAAGCGAAAACAGCGCTTGGAGCTCTGGAACATTTTACCTACCCCCCAACCCCCCACCTTGTCATGTCCATATTTTTCTAAACCTTTTACGAGAGCCCATTCAGGACTCTGAAGCCCCTGTTAGGAATCCAGCGTATTGCCACTTCCACAGCAAAACAGAGATCAATAGACTTTTAATAGCAACGCTTTGGGCTCCGCCCTGTTTTCCTTCCCTTTTTTAGCCACATTCAAGTTCGCAAAAATCAAACGGCGCTTACGAAGAGAGGCGGACAGCACGATTTCCTAAAAGCGCACAATTCGCCTCTTGTGCCAAGCTTAACTTTCAGGTTTTCATGCCGATCCTCGCAGGTTATCTGGCTCATCTTGCCTCCGCGCTCCTACATCGTGGCCACATGCCGCTTGTTCCCCGTTGATGACTGTATTCCTGTCCGACACCTCGCTAATCTGAAATCGCGCTTTGCAGTGATACTGACAAATAATTCGCATGCACGTGTTTTCAGAAGCTTAATTATGTAATTTGTGTGTGTGTGTGTGTGTGTGTGTATATAGCCTATATATATATATACACACTTTTATATATTTTTTATTTTTGGTTAATTATCTTGTAAACAAGAGTTCGTTCCAAACTGGAATTGCTCTATTCACGTATATCAAAGTGACTCCTTTATGTTTAAGAATAGATATGGAAAAACTATCTTTAAAAAGCTGCCAAGGGTTGAAATACCAGGAACGTTACCGCAGTTGTAGCCAAAAGCAATTTACTGCTAAGAATTTAATTACTCGGGTACGTAACTCAGTATGTAAAAAGCTACAATATAAAACTATGTTGCTCTGGATACGGGTGCCTGCTGAGGTTACATTAAAAATAAAAATGTGTAACGCCTTATTATGCGTGTTCGGTTTTTCTAAATGGCGAATGCAGCGAAACAACAACTGCGCATCTACAACTGGAGTGTCCAAGTGGATCCCAGTGTCACCTAATGAACACAACAAGCAAAAGGAGATCTCTTGTAACTGCTAATGGGGTCCTGGAGCCTATCCCAGGAATCAGGGCACCTAAGACAGGCCAGTTAGGGTACATGCACACAGAGGGCAATTTAAAGACACCGAGCCACATGTGGGAGGAAACTGGAACCCCCAGTGTATACCCACACAAACATGCAAGTTCCAGACATGCATGCACAATACCTGGGGCAGGATTCAGACCCACAGCCCCAGTGATGCGAGGTCAAGATGCTATCCACTGTGCCTTCCATGCGATGATTCATATTCATAATAACTGCGTCAATAAAAGTGAGAATTGCATAAACTGTAGCCCTTGAGAGCCAGTGTCGGGTACAGAGCTTGGTGTAAGTTAAAGTGCAAACATAGCTATAAGAACAGCCAATGTGGAGCGTCACTGCGTTTATCCATCTGTAGCTCCCATGTGGGCAGAGATCTCTGTACCAGAAGGAGTGCGAAACATAGATCGACTGCATTTTTCCCTATTTGATTGCCCTTTTTCCAGGGCAAAATTCCCCTCTGGCTTATGCAAAAGCAATTTTAATGATTTCAATTTCAAATTTAATTTAATTAATGGGAAAAGTAGTACTGCAGCACCATGTGATGGTGAATGCATATCAACCATTCAGTGTGGAACATGAGTCTCTACTGTCTATTTTTGGGGGTAGTTTGGTGATAAATTAAATTATTCGACGTGATGTCTTAAATTAAAAGCACATTATATGATAATTCGATTTAATCTATTCTCACAGGCTACGCAGGGGGGTTTCTCAGCAAGGGCTTAAATATTTAGCTCGAAATTAACTCTAGCTAGCTACTAAATGTAGCATAAATGGTTAACCAATGATCAAAATAAGAGTTGTTAAGAACCTGATAGAAGCTGCTTCACATTACAGAAAAATAAACACCCTGCTTTAATAAGACACAATTGATTTATTCCAGAATGAAGTTCTGGTGGAAAGGACAGTCCACCATTTTCCCTGTTGGGGAATCAAACAATGGCCTCTTGAATAACAGGTAGGGATACTTACCACTGTACTAATGAGGAAACAGCAAGTAGTTTGGCTGTTTGTTATGAATTGCTTAATTAAGATGCTATAAGAATAGCTTTAAATTAGTTAATTGGGTTAATTAATAATGAAGGATGAATTAATATCATTAATGTAACCACTTGCTGGTCTCATTGTGAACTTCACAGCCAGCCAGAACACTGGATTTCCACCATTAAATGTTGGCTCTTACATCCATCCATCCATCTTCCAGCTGCTTATTCTGGACATGGTTTTGGGGAACACAGAGAGGACAGGCAAGACTCAAGCCCACCACTGGGGGTGTGAAGCAACAGCTCTACCCACTGGGTCACCATGCCACCCTTGTGACCTTCCATTTCTGCTATATTTATACAGCTGTACATTTCTGCTGAGGCGGCTTCTGGTTAAATATCGCTCCAGAGGGCACCACCACAGAGCCCCCCCTGGGACACTTCGTCACGCGATCCAAGGTGGGGGCATGCTCGGCAGCATCACTGCATGAAAAATATAAGGATGCAATTCTGCAATTTCCGCAAACAAGGACAATTTAATTGATTACGACAAGGGTAGAATACAAAGAGTTTTACTATTAACTCTCTGAATGCAGCCCAGAGTCATCAAATGCTATTCATGTCAGCTATGGACAAGACAAACATGCCATACACTAGAAAAATGCATATAAATACTAAATATGCATATTTTTAAATTATAAAAAAGACCTATTTTTGGAATGGTTTCAAGTCCTTGTCAGCTCTGACAAGGTTCACGCAGCAGGCATGCTGCACAGACGACTCCCTCGAACATATCTCAATTCCCAACCAAGCATCACATTTCAGAATTCTTCAGACTTTGAGCAATGTAAGTGTGCTCACTTTAGTTACTTTAGAAAAGCTCTGGAAAACAAAAGTATTGCGAAATCATCTAGCTGATTTCTTTTTTTTTTCTATACAGAACCAAACCAGCTCCAGCTGAACTACCAGAAAATAATTCACTGACTCCCAGCTCCATCCTCTCGGTTTGTTTTGTTCAGCTTCCAGTGCAACATGACCACTGTACCAAGGGCAAAACAACAGTAATAGTTCTATTCCAGGCTGGTGAGTAAAAACTGACATTTGGACACTGACTCAGTTTCTGCAGGTAATCTGTGAGTTCAAAGAGATGCAATTTTTTTTTGTCTTTTCATTTTTCGGTGCTGGTGAGGAGGGTGTGAATGTTTGGGAGGGTCTAGCAAGTTCGGTGGACAGGAAAAGAAAAATAAAAAGGTTAAGTGAATGTTATTGACTCCAAATCTTTTTCAGTGCAGCTGGATTTTGTGATTTAGACTGGTTTATTTTCCATCAGTGCGCAGTGAAATGCTCAGTCTTTGCATTAAAATCTCTGATTAGAGTAGGACATACAGTAGCATTACACATAGCCACTGTCCCTGTAAACCACAGGGGCATCGAGACAAATCGATTTCTTTATCTCAAAAGCATACATTTGCTCTCAGGGAGACGCAGAGGTGGGGCGGGTGAACATCTCATTCCAGAAAGATTGCCGGTAGCCAGCATGTTCCTGCACCGGGGGAGTGGTGAGCGTGTGGCCATGATTTGCATATCAGCTTATGTGGGATCCTGCTGTGCGGTGGGAAAAGGGTTGAAAAAAAATCCAGAGGATCAAGGCTCAGCACACACTTCAGAGGTGACGGTTATTCAAAATGTGACATTTTTACCCCGAAGCCCCTCCATTAGGCGGTGAGGAGAGTGCTGATGGTGTGTGGGCGTGTGTTTCTGTGTGTGAGGGGTGGTGAGAATGGGGAGGGGGGTGGTGAGAATGGGGGGGTGGGCGGGGTGGTGAGCCGTGCTGGGACAGAGTCACCCTAAGTTTTCCATGCAATGATGTGAGTTCTGAAACAAATTTCCCTCATTTCGTATTTTTTCCCCTGAATATATAACTGTATTAATAAATTTGGGTAATAACCCTTCCCTTCTTTTCAAGAAAATTCTTTAATCAACTGTTGAGAGTACTTTGTGTTTCCTTAAGAACTGTAAATCTGGTGCTCATTATCTGGTGGTTTAGATCGGAACTCCGCACAGAGGAACATGATAATAAGGAAAGGGGCTATTGCAAAGAGGAACATGATA